TCTGTATCCAATTGGATAAAATATACCTTGGATCCAACATGAAGGAAGACCATGCTGGCCCCACACATGGTTGTAGAAGCAATTACTAGTCTCTGGGCTCCATTGGTCAGGGTGGGGAGGATGAGGTGTGGCCAGACAATCCCAAGATGCCTTGCCACACCTCCCTGTGTTGCAGATGAAGATGCCTTCCAAGAAGTATGCACACATTCCCGTCTACACATTGGGCTTTGAGAGTCCTCAGAGGATGTCAACTGCCAAAGCCACACCAACACAGAAGAGAGATGCTTTCCAGTGTGTTCCTTGGCCTTTTTGCTGGTCTCAGGTGGTGGCTAGGCATTGACAGCAAAGGGAAGATTGAGCTTGGGCACTGTTTGTGAGGGTACCACCAAAGAAATGGGAATTCAAGATGGTTGGGGATGCAACTCAGGTATTTTCTGGAGGGCTTGGGAAGTGGGCCAATATAGCATTGAGTGTGAGTGGTTAAGGACCAGGCCCCAAGTTCCTGCAGCAGAAGAAGAGCTTTTGCCTGGACGCACTTTGTCAGGCATGCTCATTCCTCAATGTCCTGTGGATTAAGAAGGGGAGAGATTGTAGAAGGTGGATATGGACATGAAAATGGATGGAATTTGAGATTCTAGAATGGGAGAGGTGCAGGGTCTGTGGGTCATCTTGGCCTTGGTGGGCTCTCCTCCCTGATGATCTTCTCCTGAACTGTGACCTTACCCAGATCCCTTCAGGGGCCACAGTGGCGGAGCGTAGAGGAGGAGTTCCCCCACATCTATGCCCATGGTTGTACCCTGAAGGACGTCTGCAGTGACTGCACCAGCTTTGTGGCCGAGGTAGTCCGCTCCAGCCGCAGAAGTGTGGATGTCATCAATGCCACGCCTCGCCGCAGCTGCCAGACCCAGTCTCTCTACATCCCCAACACCAGGACTCTTGACTTCAAGTGACTTCCCAAGACCGCCAAGCTGAACCATTCTGCTCCAGGCCCGGGGCACTGTCCTGGGCTGTGCATGTACATATATACATATATAGATACATTTATATAATATATTCACCTGGCCTATATATTTATATACATTGTCTCCAGGCCCAGGTGTCTGAGGCCAGGCTTACTCCAGCACCCTCCCTCTCCTTTTCTTCTCAGGACTCTTTGGAGACATAGGGATTTCCTCAGGAGGAGGGCAGGGGATGCTCCCCTGACCGGGGCCCTGGTCATTCTCCACTCCCGGAGTGAATGTATAGCTGCCTCCTCTCCATGACTGAATGTCCAGAGGGGACAGACACCTTGGCTCCCAGGTGGACCAGAGGACCTGGTCTGCCTCTGCTGTCCCTTAGGGTGCTTAGGCAGCAGAGGTACCAAGGGAGCCCTTAAGTGGGTGAGATTCTTCAGGAAGGCATGCCAGGCACTTCACAATTCCATCTGGAAATCCCAAAGCCAAGCTTGCTTCCTGTTCTTTGCTGGCACCCACACATGCTGTCCCTCCACGCCCACTTCATGCTGGTGCTGTTCTCCCTCAGCTCCGCTGGTCCTAAGAACCTATGATACTGGGTGGTCCCAGGACAGGGAAAAGCAGCTGTGGGAACTTGTGCACTTGCCACTATTGGCCTAATAAAGTTGATCTACCTTCTGAGGTGGGCACTGAGGGTTCGACTGAGGCAGCCGTATGCTCTTTCCAGGCGAGGCTGGCCCCACAGAACCAGGATGGCCTCCCTGGCACCTCCAAGAGGATGCACATTGCAGGACCAGGTGTTTAGGACAACTTCTGTTACAGAGCTCTTGGTCAGCTTCTCTACCAACTCCTTGGCCCTGGTCATCTCCATGCGGAACAATAGTTCACATTACCATCTGTCACCTGCATTAGCTACTAACATTAGAGATCCTTTGGTCTCATTTTCCCAGACCCCTAAGTCCTATTCTCTAGGTAGATAGCTTTTCTGGGGCTCACAGTAGAGGATCCAGGTAGGAGCTCTGATAATCACCCACCACTCACATTTACCCAGAAAATTGGTTCTGTCAACATACCAGGCAGGAAAAATACAACTCATCTCCAATTAACCAGCAAAAATCCAGAAGTAGAAGTGTGGCTCAAATGGTAGCATGCCATCCTTGTGTGAAAAACCTAAGGGACAGCATTGAGCACTGGCAAAAGAAAGGAAGGAAGCCAGGTGCTGATGGCTCATGCCGGTAATCTTAGCTGTTTGGGAAGCTGAGATTTGAGGATCAACATTTGAAGCCAGGAGACTTTTTTTTTTTTTTTTTTGCCAGTTCTGGGACTTGAACCCTGAGCCTGGGCACTGTCCCTAAGCTTCTTTTGCTCAGAGATAGCACTCTACCACTTGAGCCACAATGCCACTTCCAATTTTCTATTGGTTAATTGGAGATAGTCTCATGAATGTTCCTGCCCAGGCTGGCTTTGAACCACGATCCTCAGATTTCAGCCTCCTGAGTGGCTAGGATTACAGACATGAGCCACAGCGCCTGGCTTAAAATGTCATTTTAAAGAAAAAAAAAAGGCTCATCAAGATGAAAGAATTTGGCAACTTATCCTAGAATATACCAGGACCTCTATTGAGGCCTGTCTGTTTAGGACAGAGTCCAACACCCTACCCTGTACTGGAGAAGGCCTCAAAGGGACATGACATATAACAATTGAGCCCATGGGAAAGAATATTCTTAACAGCTAAAGTCCAGGAAACTCAAATATACAAAATCAAAGTAGTCAAGAAAAGTAGGGGCTGGGAATGTGGCTTAGGGGTAGAGGGCTTGCCTAGCAGACATGAAGCCCTGAGATCTGAGGACTGTTGTTTGAAGCTAGCCAGCGTGGGCAGACAAGAGATTCTTACCTGCAAAAACCCAGAGGTGGGGGTGTGGCTCAGGTGGTAGAGCACCAACCATGAGTGAAAAAGCCAAGTGAGTGTGAGGCTCTGAATTCAAGCCCCAGTAGTGGCACATACACACACACATGTATCATTGGCTCATGCATGTAATCCTAGCTACTAGGGAGGCTGAGATCTGAGCACCTTGGTTCAAAGCCATCTGGGGCAGGAAAGTTCAAGAGACTTATCTCTGATTAACAACAAAAAAAGTCAGACAGGAAGTGGAGCTATGGCTCAAGTGGTAGAGTGCCAACCTTGAATGTAAAAAGCTCAGGGACAGTGCCCAAACCCCAGTTCAAGCCCCAGATTCAGCAGGAAAAAAAAATTTCTTTATGCAGCACTCTCATGGGCAGTTCCAGGGGCTAAAGTGCATTTGATTTACAATTGCAGAAAGTGGCACAGGGCAACAGCCTTATACTCTCAACCTCGAGGGACCTGGGTTCTGATCCACACAGAACATTTGAAAAGCCAGTATGAAGACAACAAAAGCCTATCTGGGAATATCTGGGCAAAGCAATCCCTTCATGCCAGACAGCTCCACAGAGATCTTCCAGAGGTCACTTAGGCAACTTTAGACAGGCAAACTGTAAGACAAAGTCAAGGAGACTTCCTGGTTTTGTGTTCTTGCTATCTTTGGAGTTTTGTAGCCCCTTTTCTTCTCCCCAACCATGGGTAAAGAAAGGTGATCATCAACTCATCATGAACCTCATCTACTTGAGATCTTGGCAAGTAGAGTTGATATATCTTGAGGACCAGATCAGGCGTTAAGCGTTCAGGGAAAAACTCACATTTGCTGTTTTGTTGTTGTTGTTGTTTTTTGGGTCTGGTCGTGGAACTCTGGGCCTGGGTGCTGTCCCTCAGCTCTTCAGCTCAAGGCTAGTGCTCTACCACTTGAGCCACAGCGCCACTTCCGGCTTTTTTCTTTTTGCTTATGTGGTGCTGAGGAATCGAACCCAGGGCCTCATGCATGCAAGGCCAGCGCTCTACCACTGAGCCACCTTCCCAGCCCTGCTGTTGATTGTTTAGGGAAGACCCATTCCAAGTTGGGCCTCAGTGTTCATGACTGCTCAGGGAAGAGAAGCAGTTCAGGATTGAGACCTCCCGTTTCCACTCATAGGCTAGGCAACGGCTTCCATAAATTAGTCACACCACCAGCGTAAGGGTGACACGGAAAGTTTAGTCCTAAACAGTGAGCCATGGGATGGAGTGCTACGCCTGACTGGAGTAGGAGTGATGGATGCATTGATTATGATGCCTGGTAGGGACAGAATCCTCAGCCTCAGACCACTGATTCTCATACCTAAATGTATAGGAGCCACCCTCTGTTGCATTAGTGGCATAAAGAGGAAAAAACGAGGACCTATTATTTTTACTTTTGCTGGTCCTGGGGCTTGAACTCAGGGCCTGGGCGCTGTCCCTGAGCTCCTTTTTGCCCAAGGCCACCGCTCCACTTCCCAGCTTTAACTGGAGGCCGGGTGTGGTGGCTCGCGCCTCCTCAGGAGGCTGAGGTCTGAGGATCGCGGTTCGCAGCCGGCCGGGGCAGGAAAGTCCATGAGACTCTGGTCGCCAATGAGCCACCAGGAGACGGGCGGCGGCCCGAGCGGAGGGCGCAGGGACGGCCGCACCAGCCGCAGGCTCACGGCTTGTCCTGCCCGCGCTGGCTTTGACCTCGGGCTCCCGCGCAGCTCGGCTGCGGGGTGCGCCCGGCGCGGCGTCTCCCGGGGAAGCGTGTGGCTCTGAGGAGCTTCCTGCATCCCGAGGCGCACCGAGCGGGGACCGCGTGCCCTCCGGCCTTCCGGCTGCCCTCTGAGAACCAGGGCCTGAGTCCGGGCACAGCTCGCGCCGGGCCGGGCCCGCCCCGCCCCGCCCCGCCCCGCCCCGGTCACAGAGGCCCGCTCTACCCCGCACACCCGGAAAGGCAGGCGGCAGCCAGTACGCCGCGCACAGCTAGAGCGCAGAGGCTCTCGCGAGAACACGTCCGGCGACTCCTGGGTCTTTTTTGACGCCTTTGGGAACGGACCGGAAGTTCCGGAGAGCCACAGCGCGCAGACGCGACACGCCAGCCTCACCCAGCGCGCCGTAAGTGCGCAGGCGCGCCAGTCTCACCCAGCGCGCCGTAAGTGCGCAGGCGCGCCGGCCGGTCTCCTTTGCGCTGTCTCCAGACGGCAGGCCGTCGGGTCCTATGTCGCGCCGGGCCCTCCGGAGACTGAGGGGAGAACAGCGCGGTCAAGAGCCCCTCGGGCCCGACGCCCTGCAGTTTGTACTCCGCGATGACGATGACGGGGAAGAAGGAGGATCAAAACGAGGAATGGGTGGAGGACGCCCCGCGGGCACCGGAAAGGACGGCGTCCAAGTCAACAACCGGTTCGAGCTGGTGAGAAGCCGGGCGGCGTGGGGGAGGGGGCCGGGCGGGGCGGGGCGTGACGTCACGGTACGGTATAGGCGTCGGGTTGGGGCTGCCGCGCGGAGGGCGCGACCGTGACGTCATGGGCGGGGCGGGGCCAGGCTGCCCGGGACGCCTCCGCGCCGGAGGGGGCGGGGCTCCGCGGCCCGGGCCGTGGTCTTAGGGCTCGCTGGGAAGCGCCAGGCCGCGGCCCCGGGGCGCGACCTCCGTGGGGCAGGTGCCACGGCGCCACTGCCGAGTGGGGACGGAACTCGGGGCCGGGGCGCTGCTCCTGAGCCTCAAGGAGTGCTCAAGGCCAGCGCTCTGCCACCTGAGCCACAGCTCCACTCCTGGCTTTTTCCTGCTTACGTGGTGCTGAGGAAGCGAACCGAGGGCCTCCTGCATGCTAGGCAAGCGCTCTACCACGGAGCCACCCTCCCAGCCCTCACAACCTGGAAAGGAGATTGACAAGAGGTATTGATGACTTCACTCCAGATTATCTGCAGCTCTATAGTAGAATGCTCGTCTACCGTGCAGGAAGTTCACTTGGTAGCACCACAAAATATACCCAAATCTTTGTTGGCTTTTTTTTGTTGCCAGTCCTGGGGCTTGAACTCAAGGCCTGGGCACTGTCCCTGAGCTTCTTTTGCTCAAGGCTAACAGCGCTCTACCACTTGAGCTACAGCACCACTTCTGGTTTTCTAGTGGTTTATTGGAGATAAGAGCCTCATGAACTTTCCTGCCCAGGCTGTCTTTGAACTGTGATCCTCAGATCTCAACCTCCTGAGTAGCTAGGATTACAGGTGTGAGCCACCAGCACCAGGCTTCAAATCTTAATAAAGGTAGTTTAATTTTTTTTCCCCCTCAGGTCTGGGCTTGAACTCAGGGCCTGGGCACTGTCCCTGAGCTTCTTTTGCTCAAGCTAGCCCTCTATCACTTGAGCCACAGTACCACTTCTGGCTTTTTCTGGGTATGTGGTACTGAGGAATTGAACTCAGGGCTTCATGCATGCTAGGCAAGCCCTGTACCACTAAGCCACATTCACAGGCTGATAATTTAAATCTTTAAGTAGTTCCAACTTAAAACATGTTCCTAGCTGGCACTGGTGGTTCACACATGTAATCCTAGCTACTCAGGAGGCTGAGATTTTAGGATTGTGGTTTGAAGCGAGCCCAGGCAGGAAAGTCTGTGAGACTTGTATCTCCAGTTAACTACCAGGAAGCTGAAAGTGGAACTGTGTTTGATAGAGGGCTAACCATGAGTACAAAAGCTCAGCAACAGCACTCAGGCCCTGAATTCAAGACCTAGGACGGGCAAAAAAAAAAACAAAAAAACTTTCTACTTACATGGCTTTTATTTATTTTCACTCATTTATTTTTTATTGGTCATAGGGCTTGAACTCAAGGCCGAGGCCCAGTGTCTGAGCTCTTTGGCTCAAGGCTAGTACTCATCACTTTGAGCCATAGCAATACTAAGTGTTTTTGGTGGCTAATTGAAGATAAAAATCTCAAGGACTAGCCAAGCACCAGTGGCTCATGCCTGTCATCCTAGCTACTCAGGAGGCTGAGATCTGAAGATCGAGGTTCAAAGCCAACCCCGGCAGGAAAGACTGTGAAACTCCTATCTCCAATAAACCACTAGAAAACCAGAAGTGGCACTGTAGCTCAAGTTGTAGAGTGCTAGAGAGCTGAAGAGCTGAGGGACAGTGCCAGGCCCAGAGTTCAAGCCCCACAACCAACAAAAAACAAAAACAAAAAAAAATTCAAGGACTTTCTGGCCTGAACTGACTTTGAACCATGATCCTCAGATTTCAGCCTCCTGAATAGCTATGATTACTGGTGGGGTTTTTATATTGGGAACAAGTGTAATGTCCCTACTAATGAAGAAAGGTAAATAGAATGTTGGGAACATTCGGGAGGAATGAGAAAAGTGGCAGGTGATTATATATACAAATGGAAAGAAATGATGCCTATGTGTATCGCCCAAATTATAATGGACTCAAAATTTGGTGTTTCCCTTGTCCCTTTCTTCTTGCTTGTTTTGAGCTAAAGTTACACTAGCTAAGCATGCTGTACCACTAACCCATATTCCAGCACCCTGCTTTCTGGTAGAATATTATTGCCTGGGAGGAGCTCAGGCCTCCTCCCAGGGCTGTGGATGCAGCTCAATGCCAGTCTCCTCCTAGATCTGTGTGTCCAGATGTGAGCGGATCTTACTGCTGAGCCCACACCTTCTGCTCAGCCACCTGGCAGGGCTTCTCATGTCTGCCTTTGCTTTTGTTCCTGAACATTTTGTGCTGAACTTGTGCTGATCACGGCCTGTGTTTCCATCATCTCCCAACAATCTTCAGTAGCACCAGGTTTGTCCAGTCTGTCGTGATGGCCACCCTATCTCTTTATAATCTGGCTTGCTCTGCTCAAGCTTCCTGACCTGCCTTTACCAAACAAATTCCCTTTGTTCCAATATGAACACAAGCCTCGGCCCCTTACTTTCCGTGACCTTTCCTTAAATGGGTACTTAAAAGAGTACTTGTTACTGTCTAATTAAAGCGTGTGGTCACCCACTGTTCCCATTGCTTTTATTCTGTTATTTTTTTCCCCTCCTGTCAGTTACCAACAAACATACAAGACAAGCTACTTGTTTATTCTTTTTTATATTGTTTATCTCCCATTACTAGAATGTAAGCTTCCAGTTATTTACTGATATAAGCCCATTATCTAGAGCAATGTTCTGGCAAGCAGCTGTCAAAGTAACAGGTTTGTTGGATGCTGCTGGCTCATGCCTATAATCTTAGCTACTCAGGAAGCTGAGATCTGAGGATCACGGTTCAAAGCCAACCTGGGCAGGAATAGAGACTCTTTTTTTTTTTTTGGTCCAGTTATGGGGCTTGAACGCTGGGCCTGGGTGCTGTCCCTCAGCTCTTCAGCTCAAGGCTAGCTCTCTACCACTTGAGCCACAGCGCCACTTCCGGCTTTTTTCTTTTTGCTTATGTGGTGCTGAGGAATTGAACCCAGGGCCTCAGGCATACAAGGCATGAGCCACCTTCCCAGCCCCAGGAATAGAGACTCTTATTTCCAGTTAACCACCAGAAAACTGGAAGTAGTGCTGTGGCTTAAGGGTAGAGTGTTAGCCTTGAGCTGAAGAGCTCAGAATTACAGGTGTGAGCTACTGCCGCCTGGCTTCTTTTTTCTTTTCTTTCTTTCTTCTTTTTCTTTTTTTGTCGTCAGTGTGGGTCTGGGCCTTGGAGCTGTCCCTGAGCTCTTTTGCTCAAGAATAGTACTCTATTACTTTGAGCCACAGCATCACTTCTAGTTTTCTAGTGTAGATTAGACTCTCACAGACTATCCTGCCTGAGCTGGCTTTGAACCATGATCCTCAGATCTCAGCTTCCTGAGTAGCTAGGATTACAGGCATGAGCCACCAGTGCCCAGCCCTATTTCTTATTTATGGTGGCTGCTCTAGGGTTTAACAATAAGCTTCTGTGGTTTAACAGTTTATACTCAAGCATTTTATCACTTCACATAAACTGTAACCTGACAACAGGGAATTTCTTCTTTATTACTTCTTTATTACACTGTTATATTTTGCTTTAAACAAAATTAATCTTTTTTTTCTCTTAAGATAAAATAGCCAGGGGCTGGGAAGCTGGCTCAATGGTAGAATGCTTGCCTTGCATGCCTGAGGCCCTGGGTTCGATTCCTCAGCACCACATAAGCAAAAAGAAAAAAAGCTGGAAGTGGCCCTGTGGCTCAAGTGGTAGAGTGCTAGCCTTGAGCTGAAGAGCTGAGGGA